AGAAATTAAATGAGAAATTTAGCTTAGACCTGTATAGGCTGGAAGAGGAAACAATCAGGTCTCATGATCTAACATGTTTCATAGTGCACAACTACCACTCAGTCCTTTGTCTGATGGTGCCACTATAAGTCTCGTACAAAAAAATATGAGTTAAATGCATCAAGCAATTATTGTGGGTTTGACATTCAACCTATGCACAACCAGGGGTGCAACAGAGGAACTTGGCTAAATCAGTCTATTCAGAATAAGCTAGCTCGAGTCGGCTAATTTTCAAAGCTTAAAGCTGTGGCTGGCTTGAGATTGGTTTGTTCTGAATTTTGTAAAGTTGAGTTCGGGTTCTTGAGGCTTGAAAAATGTAAAGGAGAAAGCTGTGGCTGACTCAACTCCTTGATTTCTTATTGTGAGCTCAATTTAGATTGATATTGATAAATAAGATTTTAAGAATACTATTGAAGATTTAATTATAGAGATGAGAATAATAGTGGATGCCCTATATGTATAAGTAAATGTACTTTAAAAATATTTGGTAAAGGTTTGTTTATAGAGATGAGAATATCAACTGAGACATCATATGAACTTAATATAGACTTTACATATTTCTATTGTGTACGTGTGTTTGGGTGTGTGTAGAGAGAGAGAGAGAGAGAGAGAGAGAGAGAGAGAGAGAGAGAGAGAGAGTATAGGCCTCGTAAACTTAAGTGGATAGGAGTTTGTTGTCCACCAACTTTTCATGCATTGATTTTGCTTTGAGATTTGTGCTAGCATGCAATTCAAATCAATGCACACATCTCAAAGATACCATTTATGTCTAGTACAAATCTCAAAGCAAAATCAAAGGCTAAAAAAGATGGTGGACAAGAGTTTCTATCAACTTAAGTTTATTCTCCCTCTCCCTCTCATTCACAGACGCACGTGCACATATACACATACATGGCTAAAATGATTGAGATTCACATGTCCGACACAAACACAAAAAGGCAATTGCTAGTGTGTCAGCAAGGTTTTCCAAGATCCGTACACACGAACTTGTGGACAAGCACAAAGAAAAGGTGTGACAACATATAAGCTTTTGATTAAATTTCAACTGAAACATCAAGATCCAAGATATAAGATATCTTTAGAGTTACTTCTTTAGCTGGAAGGCATGGGTAGAACTTGCAAGATATAGCTGATGATTGGACTAGATAAAGAATCAAGTGAAACAGCTAAAAAAGAAAAGAAGAAAACAAATCAGAGGCTCAATGGTTGCAATTTCCTTTACTATCTGTAAGAAAGAAAATTCTAGCTCATGATTTATTATATTGATAATATCAATTATCAGGTGATGCCCAACTATGAATCTTAAATAGGACAAAACTTTATTGTAAAAAAAAAGGTAAGTTATTCACAGTATTGATTGAAGACAGCATGTAAATCAATGTCATAAGATCCAATTCATCTTCCGATTGCATACAGAAGAATTCAAACCTGAAGAGCTTCATTGCTCGCTGACTTAGTCCATAGTGCAAGCTTGTCCTGCCGCTGACGAACACTTGCAACGACACCACATATCTCCTCACTTTCATCAAATTGCTCCCCAATCAAAGCCATTAGCTGCAAATATCAAAGTATAAGACATAAATAAAGAGTGCTAAGTAAAGTGTTGCATATGAAAGACGAAACAAATAAGCTAAGAGGATGATCATAAATTTGACGTATTTTGTAGTATATTACTAGAACTAACATAACAAGAATCAATTAAATGACCGCAAGTATACTACAACAAACATAACAAGAATCACTTAAATGAGTCTCAAGTATTCACCGTCTCAAGCCACATGGCATCAAGGTTGGTCTTTCTGCTGCTTGTAACAGACCACTTTCCACCATTAGCACATTCAGGATCTTCCCATTTTGGTTCTATCCCAGTTTTAAAACAGTGGAAATCAGCATTTCCTGGCAACTTGCTGGGCCGGAATATTTGATCGTACAATCTATATGCAGAGTTTTAAAAAATAAGACAAAGGTAACATATGTATAGATTCTGTATAAAGAATCTACATTTGTGAAACACGGGGAAAAGAAAATATTGAAAAATAAGCAGATATTTAATTAGTTTATAGCATAATTAGTTTCATTCCAAAGAATAAAACAAGAAAAAAGAATTATCTTGAGTCCTTGACTTCAGTTTAATCAGCCTATCTGTCACATATTTGTAAGATCAGGACGCAACAGAGGAACCCATTAATCAAATTGATGTCAGAGAACAAATTATATCTCAATAAACCAGCCCAACATAATATCTCCTTTTTTTTACCAGAAGTTACCACCAACTAGCAAAGCTAATTGAGAAACAAGAATAATTACCAGCACAACAAGGAAAGTAGGCCAATAATAGGTCAAGTATGGATGCAACCTTGTGAACTATGAGGTGTCCTTATACTACAGGAGAATCAAAGAAATAACGCAACACATGAGGAAATCCTATATGTTAATTACAAACTAACTTTAAAACCTTTTTCACACTATCTTAAATGAACAAATTGCATGTGTTGACATTTTTGTGTTATACAATGCATATTGGTCTTGTACCGTAATGCTTTACATAGCACACTTATCAGTTTTCTTTAAAAAAAATGTAACATATCAAGTAACACGGTGCGTCTCGTAAGATATTGACAACTGCACCTACAACTCGCATAATGTTGCAGGAAGCTACAATATTTAGACTCTAATTTCATTATGCTACCAAGTATATTTTAGCTCCATTGGAGAAACTGAGGGTCAAAGCAATAATTTTATAGCTTTTGTCATGAAGAGACCATCATTCTTCGAATCTAACGGCTTAAGAAGTGAGGGGAGAAGGTCCTCTCACACCCACACTTGGTCATATCATTCTTGAATGTTAAGCTAGGTGGTAGTCGAAATTCTATGCAGTAGAGCAGAACACTATCAAGCATCGACTTTGAATAAAAACCACATAAAAAGATAGCTAATATCCCAATCCAACATAAAAAAAAAATATCACTAAGACCATCTCCAACGCGACGCCATTTTGCCGCAAAAAGCGGATTTGCCGCTGCTCCGGAGCTCCAACGCGGCGCCAATTCTCGCTGCATTTTAGCGGGGATGAACAGCGCGACGCTATATTTGGCGTCGCACTGTTCATCTCCGCATTACTGTTTCTTTTAATTTTTTTTAATTTTACCTCATATTTTTATGTATTTACAATTTGACCCCAATTGTTTTATTACATGTATAAAACAACCCGCATCATCTCCGCATCATCTATGGGAGGAATACACTAATTCAGATAGTTAAGTGCATACTAAATTTGTAATTTTTACATTGTTGTTAATGTTTAGTTATTTTCTTGTATTTTATTTTCTGTTGTGTTCTTGAATGTAATATTTTGGCAATATCAATAATAAAAATATAATATTTTAGCAATCAAGTTATTTTAATTAATAAAATAATATTTTATTGTTTTATTAGTTTATTTTTTTAAATAATAAATTATTTTGTTTGGAAAATATGTGAAAAAATAAAATTTGATATGTGGGGTTAATTGTTGAAATAGTTAAAAATATAGAGAATAAAAAATAATAATATAAAAGTAGATAAAAAAAAAGATACTAAGAATATTCATTTTTGGTGCAAAAAATGGTGTAGTGGGTTGGAGATGAATTACTGTTAGATGTGACTTTTGCACCATTTTGGTGCAAAATTTACACCATTTTGGTGCGATGGGTTGGAGATGCCCTAAGCCCTTCCATTCTATAATTACCATTAAGTAATCAAAATTAGACCTTTTTCATGCCAGAGATCAATCCAAACCGACCAAAACAGGACCCAATACCCAAAACCCAAAATTAAAACTTCAGATCCAATCTACCACTCAAGCGACGAATTAGGGTTAGGGTTTTTGAAAACTAGGGTTAGGGTTTCTTACACCCAGAACTCCTCAACGGTATCAAAGGTGTAGATTTTCTTCATCGAGGATCCCCAAGCTGCGCCCTGCTTGGGCTTCGACTGGTTATCGAACCAGAAAGTCCACCTCCTCTCCAGCTTGTGTGGCGCCCGGTTCGTACCGGCCGATTCGCTCTCTTGTGCCGGTGCGATCGCCGGTTCGGTTGTCGCCTCCGCCATTGATTTTTGGGTTAGGGTTTTTTTTTTCCGCCCCCTCTCCTCGTTGACAGAGATTTTGGAAGGAAGGAGACGTGCAGCTGCGGTTTTGGGTATAAATTGGGATGAAGGATGTAAATTATGCGTTTACCACCTCCCCTAACTCACCTGTTACACTTGCTTTCTTTGATTAATTTGTTTACTATTATTTAGGATTTGTTTTTAACAAATAATTTTATTTGAAGAAAATATTTGTTAAAGAACATTTTTTCCCCTCGTGACCTACAAAATTCCTTCCTTGTAAGAAATATAAATTGACTCGATTGATTATCGTGCGATCTATCGACCATTACCAAGTATTTTTTTTTAATTTTATTAACATCTCCGGAAATATTGTAATAGCGTAGAAAATGGTGACAAAAAATTAATTTTCATCGTCAATTTTAGTTTAGTCCGTTAACAATTTTATTCAATCGGGCAAAATGCTACTTCACTACTTCAGCTTCATTCATTCTACTCGTGGAAGAAATTACTCATTGTTAGTAAAGAATGCCTCTTCGCCGGGAAAAGTGTATTAAAAAAAACTATAAATTGAGTTGGACCAACTATTTGCATATAAATTGTAAGTAAACTCATTACATAAAAAGAAAAAGTAATCTTCAAATTTTATTATTCACCTTTTCATAATGTTACAAGTACTACCACCTCTGTAAGTATAATTTATTTTCTTTCGTCACACATTATGGATCAACATTCTCCTTCAGCTTTCAATGCTTGTTTGCAGCCTCAACAAGGCAACACAAAATGCGACGCTATAAATCATGGAAGAGTCTCCTGATCTGCTCAACGGTCGCAGGAGTCAGTGTTACAGGGCATCGTTTGTGCTGAAAACAAAATAGAGATCATCAGAATAATCATCATAAACAACAAATCCCGTAACGCGAGATTTTCACTTAAAAAGGATTTCGAGGTTCTGACCTGTGAAACATATTTAAATATGCAAGCATAGCAGAAAACAAAACCAGAAACAGCGACGACTGATGGATTCGCTCGTTTCTGCGAGCAAAGAGGGCACAGTGTTTTATCAGGTGGCAATGGTATTCCATCTTCAGCGACCTGCAAATAAGTTACGAGCTCATAAACTTTTCACGGTGGAAGATCAAAGACAGGAAATTCCCTGAAGGATTCAACCATATGATAAGCCAATAATGCACAAGCCAAAATACTTGGACACTAGAGATATGCAGATTGGCAGCTGGAGCTTTCTTATAATTGTGCCCTGGTCTTTAGCCTGCAAGACTTCTTGACAAACTATCGAACTATGTTTTACTGTGGATTTGGGTAATAACAAGAGCAAAAGCCTGTACACCAAAATTTTTGGATCGCTACATGAATTCAATATGGAACTTGTTTTACTGTAGATTTGGGTAATAACAAGACAAAAAGGCTGTACACCAAAATTTTTGGAGCGCTACATGGATTCAACTCTTCCACATAATTTGGGAAAAGTTCCTCCGCTATGTTAATCATTATCCTGTCTTTCTCAAAAGCTTCTGGCCAAGTGCCCTTAAGCCTACCTTCTAGTCTACATTACTGTGGATGAGGGTGTAAATCACAAGAGGACTTCTAGTGACACTCGTCTTGGGCAAGTGTCTTTGTCACTCCCTATTAGCAGGGGGGCATGTGTCCCATAAATTTAACCCCACCCAAATTTAACTCTAGTTAGATATTAAACCCAAAACTTCCTCCTTTATTTTTCAGCAAGTGTCCTTAAGACTTTCTCATATCATAATTGCACTATAAACAATATCTTCTATGAAGAAAAGGAAATGAATGGAAAATATGAGACAAAGAGCCCAAGAGTATGAATGAATATACTTGAACAAAGGTTGAGTTTGAAGAAAATTCTGATTAGCATTCCTTGCTCCCGAAACGAATGGAGACAAAATTACCTTTGGAGGAGGTGGAGGCAGTGGCGGTGGGTAAACAGTTGGAGCTGACATTCGTTCTTCAGCAGATTGGTACCACCACTCCATCATCTGTAGAAGATAATATATGATGTCGTAAATCAGAGAATAATAATTAAAAAATTAATGGTTGAATTTGTATGTTATGGGTGTGGCATTTTTTTTTTTTTTTGGGGGGGGGGGGGGGGATGGGGATATCTTAACTGATACAAACTACTTTGTGCATGAAAATTTTGATACTTCTCCACCAAATTTGATTTGTTTAATGAGCGTTCATTTACAAACATGTTCGTGTTCAAACCGTGAAGCATGTAAACTCCAGTACCTTGAAAAAGAAGACGGCAGCAATAAGACCTGTTTGAGCATAATCCAATGTAGTATATACACAACTGAGTAGTACTCTCTGAACTGCCTGCAACAATAAAATAGCTGTCAACATGGATATCCATAGAACTCGTACAAAAACTGGCTTATATCTCTGATATATGTAACTCATGAGCTCAGGCATTTATATAGCTATACCCACACACCTTTAACCATGGCGGTCCACGTAACCTTTCACGTTCGCGAGTTCGAATCCTTGATATTCTAGAAGATGTATCCATCTACCTTGACATTGAAGTACAGAATGAATTAGTTAGACAGAAGGAATACAAAATTATCCAACTTGCTTACTCATTGAAAAGCATATACTAAGATTGTAAGCATGCCTCATAACCTACATATGTATCATGCAGTACACATCAATTTCTACAACTGCAATGAAAACAAAAAATTAAATTGAGAATCTTCATCTAATTATCAGCATACTGTTTTCTCATCGGGATGAGGTTTGGTATTGGACAAGAGTTTACACAAAAATACTTGAATAAATTTCATGACAAGCTATCAACTTGACATCAACGCTGTAACGTGATGCAAAACTGCAAATATTCTAGGCTAAGAACACTGTGGATAGTGGAAGAGCTTTCGTAAATCAAAGAGGATGTAAAGAGACAGAATATTTCGTAGTAAATGCATTTTTATTTTTTAAGTCATAGAGAAAGGAGCAACCAAAGTTGTCCTACTTAACAAATGAATATAAGTATATGCCTCTAATTCAGATACCTAAAAAGCCCATGACCACTTAAACAAATATAACATGACAACTACCCTGGCTCTCAAAACGGGCAAGCATGAGTTTGCTGACAAGCAGGCAAAACTCAACAATGCTTCAATCACCTAAACTTAATGCAAAATAACCGCAAAATTAACTGATAAAACAAGTTTGGAACTACTTCCAGAGTCCATACCAATTCTTGTCCTGTTGCACGACAAACATGAACTCCAAGAACATGAAGTCCTGGAGTATAAAAACCAGTGGCATCCAGCAGATACAGTAGCTGATAAGCAAAGGATAAGCCTGCAAACCAACACATATGCTTGAGGATCAATGCAAATGATTTTCAGAGTCAAAACACCCATAAAGTCCTGATGTAACTCTAAATTTAGAGCAAAAGCTTATTTTCATGGAATGTGAAACTGCAAGCAAATGTTTTCTAGAATAATGATACTGCATTTTGACCACATGAAGTTAGGATAGCTGGTGCTGAAAATGATACTCATAGAAGTTATCTGATCTACAAGCTCCAGAGAATTTTACGGTATCTGAAAACAAGGTTAATATCGAACCATAGTCTACCATTTTCATTGACTCAAAGACCATTCATTTGAGAAATGGAGAGCAACATCGTACAATACTAAAAGGGAGGTGGAGAGATCAGAGATGTGAGGAATGATAAGAAGAGAGAGAAAAATGCATATAAGTTTCTATTTAGCACTCATTTGGCCAGCTAGACACGGGAGGGGGGTAATGTCCAAATCCTCTTCTTTCTTAATCTTAAATAAACCAATGCCAATAGGCTCTTATTCATCCTAATCTCAAGACACCAGCATGTCAAGATCTCTTTTCTTACTTTCCTTTAAGATCTTCAACATAACACTGCCAAATGGACTGTATCAAGATGCCACAAGTTGTAGTATAGAAAATTGATTGGGACAACATGAATGGCTTTAACATATCTTGAAGAAGTGTAAAGAAAACAGTCAAGATTAATAATTACAGTGTAATCGGAGACATGATTGCTTACTGCTATAATTAGCTTAGAATGCCTCATAGTAACATGCACCATGCAAGTTCAAATGTAGTTTATAATTAGATTCTCCACATCAATCTAATGATTTAACTTTGTGAAGACAGTCAAAATTGAAAACAAAATAAATATACAGTATATGAGCCATGTACCTTCATTTGTTGCATGAATCCAAGGGTAGCAAGCACCAATAATTGCCACAATTTTCTTCTTGATGTGCGCTATGCTTGATCCTTCCCGACTTGAAGGTTCAAGTCGTGCATCGGAAATTTCACCCTGATCCAGGAAGTAGTCTGTGTCATCTAACCTTGTGTCATCATCACCCCAAAGGCTTGCTTGAAGCCTTGCTTCCCTTTCTCTGTTATAGATTGAATTCAGCTTTGACTTCATGTAAGGCAAAATAACCTACAAGAATAGAGAATTTTACTAGTGGAGATATAGATCCTCTCAGTTGTCATTTCAGATGTTTCTGAAATAATCATTTTGAACCCAATAATTATAAGTTTCCGAAACCAATAATAAAAATAAAGACCAAGAGAAGCTTCTATATGCAGCCTATAAAGTGTTGACAGTGTCATCAAAATCATAGAAACCAATTTAATCTACACAAACTTACCAGGCAACAACTACACACATTGTATCATGCCCATTAACATATTGTTGGACAGAAGTTTACATTTTTCATGAAACAGTGAATAAAGTTCTGCAGTTATAAGGAAAAAAGAATTTAACTTTAGTTTTACTTGGGCTATTAATTACTTGGCTATTAATTGAAAAACGAAGATTATAAAAAAAAGCTGGTGTCTTTATTTCAAGTAACAATAATAACTCTTACAATACAAAATTTGCACACCACACCAAAATTAATGTATCTGTAAAAGATAATATCTTTACTTCCTAAACACTAAAGAAGAACATGTTGTGCCTCTGAATATAAAAACAACAAATTTTCAACATGTAACCAATGTAAAATCGGCCACATAAGCAATGTTTCACTAACATTTTAACACTGTTGAACAGCTATAAGGCAAGGTATAATACCAAGAATGCAACTGAGAGAACTTTTTGGCGCCTCCTTAAACTGGAATGAAGTGACACTTCATTAGATTCAGGATTCACAGAGTTTTGACTTGATCCGACCTTCACCGCTCTCCTACGCAAACCATATAGTGACTCCGAAAATGAAGCATCTGAAACAGGTAACAACTACGACATCAAATTAACTGAAGCTCGAGTGGTAATTTGTGAGCACACCATAAAGATACCAAGCATATACATGATACATCCATGAGCAAAGGTATGATTTAACAATCTATTTTCGGCCTTGTTGTTAAAACATGACCAAAAATCGGAGACCGACTCCCGGATGAGATGGAAGCATTGTTGAAGATGGAAACTTTTCATTTTAAGGTTAAATACGAGAGATGCTGATTCAATGTATACCGCATATAACTAACTAGATACAGTGAGTGTGGCTTGCTTCCAATAGTTCAAGCGAACGTAAGTTTCGAATATATCAACCATAAAACAAAATTTAAAAAGAAAAAGTAGAATAGAAGCAAACCCGTGGTGCGTAAGCTATGAGTTTCAAGCACCAGCATCAGCAAAGCAAAGAACTCGTCGTCGTAGTCTAGCACCTTGTGGAGGAAGGGCCTTCTCAGGGCGAATACCTACAAAGGATCGAGCAACAGCACAGTTGGGATTACCGCACCGACACCCGAAACAGCCAGCAAAGATTAATTAAAGTTAAAAAATCTCCAGTGAGACACCCAGCGCGCAAGGCCATTTCTTTCATTTATTTTTTTTGAATCGTGCCTGTAATGCAACGATAACTAGAAAAAATGAAGTAGATGCATCAAGATCATGGATTCCTTCGATGTATGAGACAATTTGCTTCGCTAGACCCCATTTCCTAAAAATAAAAAAAAATAAAAAAATCCCCCACAAGAAATTACAAGATTGGCGAAGTCAGCTGAAGACCAAAACCCTAGGGTGAGAGTAAAATACCCCGAGGGAGTAGGTGAGGGCGGCCCTGAGGCTGGAGGGGAGCTGCTGGGCTGCCGCCATGCCGCCATCTCGAAGAAGGTGGGCCTCGTCCCTTGGCCTCCCACCTGAAACAGCATCCTCTCTCTCTCTCTCTCTCTCTCTCTCTGTGAATTTGATAGGGCTAGAACAAAACAAGCTAGGGTTTTTCTTCTTCTTCTTCGAGGAGGGGAAAAAATTTTTGTCTTTTTCGCTCCCCGGTTTGATCCTGAGATAAAGTTGCTTTCTGGGGATGGGAGATGGAGGCCCACGTCATCAGTTGCCCTTTTTAAGGGTAAATTATGGTAGACCCCCCATAATTTTAAAAAGAGCTTTGCTACAGGGACTCAAAATATGATATCAATAGAGGGGACAATTGAGGTGTCCCCCTCCTATTGGATAATAAGTTGGCCATCATTAATGATGGTCAACTCATTATCCAATAGGAGGGGACACCTCAATTGTCCCCCCTATTGGTGCCATATTTTGGGTCCTTGAGGAATTTTTCTTTTAAAAAGGATATTTTTTTTAAAATCGACCCATTTATAAAAATAATTATAAAAATCGACCTCTTTTTAACATATTTGTCAAAATCGACCCAATTTCAGCATGTCTAAAACTTCATGGGACTTCGTGTCCCGTGAAGTTTAACAGCCAGGTAATTAACCTGTGTAAGTTCACGGGACTTGAAGTCTCATGAACTTGTAATGAGTGTTTTAGCTTCTCGTGGAAGAGTTGGCGCCGTTAATCAAATTTTATTAGAGGGTCCCGTGAAATTTCATAAGTTTTTTTGTCAAAATCGACCCAGTTTCAGCCAAATGGCTGAAACTGGGTCGATTTAGACAAATATGTTGAAAAAATATCGATTTTTGTAACTATTTTTATAAATGGGTCAATTTTCAAAATCTATCCTTTTAAAAATCATACTAAACGCCCAATGACTTTTGTAGAAGACCTCCGTGAACTTTTAGGTAAACCCTCATAAACTTTCAAAATGGCTTTTTACATTGTTGTTTTTTCTCCTAAGAATTTAGGCGGGGGGGGGGTGTGTTGGGAGGGGTTTCTAGCACAACTGTAATAAAGTTCAGTGGCGCCTTAGGTGTTGATTCGAGAGTTCATGTGGGTTTACTTTTGGTGAAAGTTTAATGGGGGTTTAGTGTAGTTTACCCTCTCTCTCCAACGGGCTCTATCTTAGAGTACTTCCACACTCATTAAGAACAAATTACTGTATTTTCTTTTATTTCTTATTTTTATCATGATTAGGATAAATTCCATAATTCTACCGTAAAAGCATTTTGTACAAAGTATCGTGAACTATTTTTATTTGGGATTTCAATAAGTTATAACTACGCGTAAAACATATTTGGGGTTTCTTTTTTAAACTTGTAACGATATTGTTACCATTACTGCAGATACTAAGTTTATAACCTTTTTATCTAATATCAATAATTTATGCTGATTTCGAGCAAAATCCATAATGGTAATTCTGTAAAATTCCCCCCTTGCTATCGTTAGGGGCTGTTAGTTTTGTTGTTTTTGAGAGGTTTTAAGAGTGGAAAGCTGACATTTTGTCCCAAAAACGCCTCTCACAGAGGCGTTTTTGGGTGAAAAGCTGACATTTTCTGATAAAATGTCAGCTTTCCACCCTTAAAAAAATTATCCAAACGCGCCCTTAGTATCTGAATGTGTTGGAAACTCCAAACACGGTTTTAACTGCACAAACCGTACAAAAGAAAATATGGTAATTTTTCCTTTGTGTCCAAGTAAAGATTTCCATCCATCAAACATAGAACTTTATTCTGAGATACACCTCCCAATCTATTTTCATGATG